ATATATATATATATATATATATATATATTATATATATATATATATATATATATATATATATATATATATATATCAAAATTCTGGTGTTCCTCTCCTCCCGGGAAAATGGAGGCAAGCGAGCGTGTTCGTACCTGACCTACTTTTCTTCGTGTCTTTCTTTCTTCCTTTCTTTTTTCTTTCCCGTTTTTTCAATCGCTTTGCGTAATGTCCCCTCCTAGCCAGAGAAATCAGAGATTCACTTCAATTGCTACGAGCAACAACGAAGCCCACGCGTTTATATTCGGGCAACAATGACATGTAGCGAATTTAAATGAAAACTCCTGTCGGCAAAAAAAAAACCGGGAGATCACGTTATCCAGAAACTGCTGTTTAATAGCAGTCGATGGCAGATTTTTCACATTCACATGCAACTAGACGACTATGCCACTTTGCCAAACATTGCCCCAAATAGCACAGCTGGTTCGTTGATTTTGCCTCTCATGGCTTCGTTCTACCTTGGAGTTCTGCCTCGTTTGGATTACGCTCATTAGTAACTTTGTACTGCCTCCTCCCTAAAGTTACCATGAACCACCTAAAGCTAGGCGAAACAAGGCGTCGTTAACGCAAGGGACCCCATTCGTCAGTTCTGCCCTGATCTTGTACAGATGCACCCACGTGTTCTTAGTAATCCTTGTAAATAAAGGGTCATGTGGGTTTGTTGCCACTTTCGCACGCTGCACGCATCGCGCTGCAATGCAAGTCTTCAACTTTGCGGGCAAGACATGAAACCAGGGATAGACGCAGCCATTTTATAAACGAGGGGAGCGATAGAAAATGCACTACACGCATTATAGTCATCTTTGGCCTAACTATACGTATCTTTACCGGGGAGTCGTTATAAGCGTCTCTGCGATAAAAGATGATGTGAAAGCACCCTTGCTTGTGCGCGCAATTAAAAAATAAGGGATGGTACAGGAGAGAGGAGTATACTTACAATCCAAAAGTGGCCGCATTCTTTTGCCTTACCTTCTAAAGAAAAGCATCGTACCAATGTCGGTGGTCTTAAGGAAAGCGCAGTTACTTGAGGACCTAATTAATAGAAATCACCTAGAGAAAATATAATAAATGTAAAGCAAACATAGAGAGACGCGCTGACAGGTAAAGAGAGATTATCGTTTTTAGAGACACATTTTTTACGACTTCCAGAATATCCCATGAGGCAGCACCTCATAGTCGGTGCCTCACGTCGCTAGATCTCCTTTGAACCTGCGTTATATCATTTATATTTTATGTCATGACAAAAATAAAAACAAAAAATAACAGTCCATAATGGTGCGTTAAAGTGAAACGAGGGAGGCTGTCATCAACTTTTGTCTTAGACAACGTCTTTCTCTGTGGCGCTTTCTTCCTTTTGCTCTTTGTTTCTTTCCTCTCTTTTGTTTTTTTCCTTTGTTTCTTTCCTTTCTTCCTTGCTTCCTTCTTTCACTCCTTATTTTTTTCCTTTCTTTGTGCCTTGAAGATAAAGCCGGAGGACATGTCCACATACGTTCTGCTCAGCGTTTCAGTTTCTTGCTGATGCACTTCCTCTAACGAATAAGATGGCCTTCCTCCTGTTCCAGGTAAACTGGGTCACCGTTCACCTTTCACGACCTTTTGTGGCTACGACATAAGATGTCCCTTTGAATGGCCCCGGACGCTCACATCCTTTCACCCGATGGAGAGGGTCGCGTACTTTAAAACTAGTATGTTTTAATATCGTTTTCTTCTTGTCTAGTCACTAGAATCTTTTCCTTTTAATCCTACGCGATCTAAGCTGCTTTTCTTCGTCCACATTTTGTAACGATCACGCAGTGACGTTCTGTGCCGTAAATCTGCGTGATGATCGGGCAATTATCACGTAGTGCAGTGACACCATCTCCGTTTACGGCAATAAAGAGCATCGCATACTACAGCTTAAATCACGGAATGTGTCCTGAACACCAGTGCCGATATAGGTGAAAATAAAAACGTTTTTATTTGCTAATCGGTAAAGCTTGGCCTCTCTTATATTGATGTGGATATGGCACACATTATTTGACCTTTTGTACTTAACCAAACGTACATAGGGATTCAAATAATTACTCTAGACCCAGACGGCTTCAATATTAGCCTATTAAAATGTTGAAATTTTAGACGACCATATACTGTACAGGCCTAGTGGCATGAATTCAAAGAACAGTTCACTTCCTGCATTTTCAGCTCAAAGCAAACTAATGTTAATTAATGACACATGAATGAAATTGTGGCTTAAAAATGTACATTTGTACAGAACAGACCGCTCTCGCATACAAGTCACATTGTATCGAACTCATTTTTCAAATATGCGCTAGAGACGTGTCAGTCTATATATCATATTTTCATATTGTGTCGAACTCGTATCTTCAATGGGTGGTTCCGACGTGTCAGTCTATGTATCATATTGTCATATTGTATTGAACTTGTGTCTGAAATGCGCGGTTGAGACATGTCAACTTATGTTAGCCTTCCCTCTCTACAGGGTGTTGCATTGTGATGCTGCGAAAGTTCTACATCGCCTTTAAGCGCAACCTGCATCTTTCAAGTACATTTCTAGTGAAGCTAACAATATGTAAAATCTGTTCAGCTCAGTTACAGCCTGATTTTCGCACCAGGATGACCACGCTGCAGTGTTTTTGCACCAGAGTTCAAATGTCATCTTGACTTCAGCATACGTCGCACCAAAGTGGCACGAGATCCTACAATACTTACTAATTTTTGCAAGCGTACCTACGGCATATCGCATAACGCTTAGTCAATTATTTTTTTGTTATAATTGAAGTTTCTTTCAGTTTAACCCGCTTTAATGTCTTCGCAGGACGTACTAATCGGCATGCAGCATCGATTTACTGCGAGTGGTCAGTGCACAGTATAACTTATCGCGTTTGCAACAGGCGCACAATTAAACTCAATTTACGCAAACAAGTTCGGCACTCAGAATTCTACCGCTGATCCCATATAATCCACTGCTGTCGACTTCTACGGGGCACAGAATGCTTACAATTAATACGATGTGTGTCCTCCGGTTTCCTCACCCGCACGCTCAGTGAATATAGGCATCACACGTCACAGTGTCGAAATTTCGAATTAACTGTTGTGTGGCCATTAGTAACTCGTGTGGCTATAATAACACTGCCTAGGCTGCATGACTCTAACCGTCAGAAAAGCCTCCTTACCTTGAAATATGGCATCCCACATTAAAGAAGTCAACCTTTTGCAGGTGGCATAGACGTTATCGGCAGACCTATAATAGTTATTGTTTTTTGTTCTTTTTTGTTTTTGTTTTTCATTTGCCTGTTGTAACAATGCATCATGACCGTCCTAAAATCTCCTGCAACCAAACAGTACATTTCAACTCTACACCCATTTCGAAGTCATACCTTCAACAAACATACGCGCACTTTTTTTTTACTTTCGTACCTATCCCTTCCTTTTTACCTTCTCTACTCTGTGTCAGTAAAATGTAGCAATTGTGCTTTATAATTTTCTTCTTACTTATCAGTCTCAATCATTACGGCACTGTGTGTTGGTAATATAATTGAAACTCAACCAAAGCGAGCTAAGTGACAGGTATCAAGTTTCACAGTATCATATGCTATAATGCAATGCTTGGATTCATATGGCTTCGGCATCTTTTGTCTACTTCAGTCTCCCCTGCCACAGCCTAAGCGTGTCTATTTGTTGATGGTTACGAAAAATCCCTGATCACCTTCGCAGTAAGCTCTATGCGCTTACGAACTGCCGCCACATTTCTTCATCCTTGTATAATGGCTACGTCATTAAAAATGCTTGCTGACTGGGTAACCTCAAGGCCGATGACCACAAGAAGCAAGCTCGTAATTACATCACCAATTCATTTGAACATTTGTTCAGCTTATGTATTCCTTCTCGGTGATGCTTCCCGCAATTTGAAAACAAGGTGGCTTGATGTCACAAAGTAGCAATATTGCCGCTCGAGTCATATAAATCAGGAGCGTATTAGTGTCTATGCTCCCATTGAACCATGGGCGCTGAATGTTTTGTCTCCCTCGGCTTGTCAACTTTAAAGAGCCGTAATCGATACCATGGTTATGCGATATTGCTGTATGTGCTACCAAACGTTGTGTAGAAAGAGAGAGACAGAGAAATGTTTACTGTGGCACAAAAGCTTGGAGGTAGGCCTGAATGCATTTTCTAGCCTGCAACTTAGCATAAGGAAAATGAAGTGGGTAAAAAAATAGCTGTGAGATGGTGTTGATTAGCTAGTAAAGTGGCTATAAAACAAAACCTTGGAAGTTTAAATCAATTTATAGAGTCTTGTCGTGTTCTGTATCACGTAAAAATTTGTCCAGTGCTTTCAGAAGCTACTGACGCAGCCTTGTGATTTTTCAATGAAGAGCCGAAAGCCTCGTTAGTGCCACAAAACTCTGACTTGCCTTCAGGAGTGAGAATGGACACGTTGTTTCTCATGCAAACAATCGTACACCTATATATCCTTCCTTAACCATATGGAACTCCCAAAGCTCAGTTTCGAGTCTTTTTTTTTTTCGTATGAACATAATTTGCGTCCTGCTGCTTTGCATCGATCTAAAGACATGGTGATGACGAAACCTTGAAAATATTGCATTTTCTGTATGTTTACGTAAATATTTGTATCATTATACAGTTTCTCGTCGTCAACGTCGTTGTTGTTGTTGCTGTTGTCGTCGTCATCATCGAAATACCGTAGTGTTCCATTTATTTATCACATCCTAAAAGTATGAAACCATGCACATAGCAAAATGTTTCTCTCAAGCAATTGGTTGACACGTGATAGGACGCTCGTAAAGTGCACTTCTTTTGCGAATCACTAGGCTACAAATTTGACTAAATCAATGCTATGCATTCTCGCTTATGTCATTCGTTGAACGACGAGCATCAAATGCCGAATGCAATTACCATTGACGTTCCCTTGCCCCATTTCATTTTATCTCGGTCGATATAAGCCGATGAAAGCTCCTCCATTCACTGACCGCTTTCCCTCGGAAAACAGTGCGACCGCGGCAGGTCTGATCCCGATCGACCCCAAGGAAGGAGGACGGGTGCGTTGGTGACCCACGGCGAATGGTCGTTGCTAGGCGAACGCAGGAAACAAATGCTCATCCGTGGCCCAGCTTTGAAACGTAGAGCACGCAAGCGAAGCCACCGGCAAATTAGGTGAAGCGAAAGATACGGCGCAGGCCAATCGGGTGAAGACAAGTGCAGAACACGTTCGTTCGTTCGTTCGTTCGTTCGTTCGTTCGTTCGTTCGTTCGTTCGTTCGTTCGTTCGTTCGTTCGTCCGTCCGTTCGTTCGTTCGTCCATCCATCTGTCCGTCCGTCCGGCCGTCCAGCCGTCCGTTCGTTCGTTTGTGCGTTCGTTCGTTCATTCGTTTGTTCATTCCATCATAGGGTTTCCTAAAATTAACTATAGGGACTCTGGCACTGAGATCGTTCAGCGACCATGGGAATGATGGGTAGTACACAGATTTGCCTAGTCTTCGTGCTTGCTGCTTTCGAACGCACTTGTGTTTTGTTTCGTGCGGCGTTTCGCTTTTGTTTTGAATGAAATAACAAACCATTGTGAACTTCATGGCCTGATTCTAATTGGTGAGTCTAAAAGGTAAAAATGGTAAAGTGCAACTACATATCATTTACTGGTTGAACATAATTTAACACAGCGCACGATTACGCCGACAAAAGAGAAGAAGGAACGATCCGCAGCACTTCTTCTCTTGCGCAGTCATGCGCTGTCTTAAAATATGTTCAAGCACTTTCACCAACTGTCCCAGCTTTTAATCATTTACCGATTGTCGTTTCGTGACAAAGCAGCTTCAAGCCACGCGAAGCAAAATGGAGCCAGAAAAACGAAGATGAGACAAATTCATGTACTGCCTGATATGTTCTGCGCAAAGGAAGACATGGCATAAGCTTGTCTTTCAAGAAGATGTTTGCACTTTATTGAAGATGCATCTCAAACTATGGTTCAAGTAACTTCTTTACTGTGAGGGCCATCTGTCCAAACTTGCTGCTTTGTTCATTAATTTTTCTCTTTCATTGGCGTACTTAACGCATTGCAAAAGAATATGATGAACACGTTCATCTTCGTGAAAAGAAGAGAAAAAGCGAGCCCCGCAACTGTCTGCACCTAAGTGCAACACATCAGCAGTAGTTCACTAGGGAAGTGAGATTAGCAGGAATTCAAATGGAATAGAGCGAGAAGTAAAGATCAAGAAAAAACTAAGTATTGGGACACAGTTGACAGAGTCCGATGACGGGGTACCACTTGACGAGAGCTACGCTGGCGCCAGGAGATCGCGGGTGACACAACCGTTCAGCACGCAATCCGGCAAGCTAGGCAAAGTGAGCGCGATGCTGTAGCACTGACGGGGATGAAAAAGATGGAAATTATGGTTTCTTTTTCAAGGCAAGAGCTTTAGATGTCTCGTTGTGAGGGTTATTAAGCGAAACACAAGAATGATGTGACACAAAAACTTGAGCAACCCACGTAACCAATCACATTATGTTGTGACGCCACTCAAAGACCATGAAACCCAATTTTCGCTCATAATCTGTGTGATGTGGGTTAACCCTTGTATGCTTGCAAACAAGCTGGAGAAATTTCAGTGCGTTTTATTTGAGACCTAGTTTATAACAACTATCTTTATAACACGTCCGCAGCCCCAGAGTCTGGAAACACTGGCGCACACGCAAGCCGTGCTGTTACAAGCTGCTTTTTGAGAGCGTCTGTGTTCTAGCTCACGATTTTGTTTCGTTGGAGCTATTTCAGCTTTCGATTGCCAGCCTCGCATCTTAAATAAAAAAATCTGCAGTGGCTAAAACTTAAGCTCCCAAGACAGCCAACTCTTTGCTGTCTCCGTAACATCGTAACATCTGTTCCTATCAGGGAGGTTCCTACGCATTGCGTGAAGTCTGTCAGTCTCGCTCTCTCTCTCTCTCTGTGTGTGTGCGTGTGTGCGTGTGTGTGTGTGTGTGTCGCTTTGATATGCTGTGCTTTTTTTATTTTTTGATCATGTGAATTGTAAGAACTTTGCCGTAGTTCGTGTTTCAGAATGCCTTTCGTTTTGTGTATACCACTAGAGCCCGTTTGTGGGGCTGACGCGTGTTTTCATTCATTACAAGGCATGGGTTGGCGCGACCCAGCTAGTACTTCTTGTGCCTAGAGCAATGTCCGGCCAGACTGTGTAGGAAATTTTTGCAGCGGATATCAACAACAACGACAATGACAACGCGCTTGCGCCATGAGTCACCAGGTGCTTGTCCAAGCATTTTCATCGTTGGGTGAATCTCTGCTTGCACCTGTCCTGATTACTGTAACTCTAGACCTTAAGTATTCGTTTAAGTATGTACGTATTGAAAGCTGCCTCAGTATGCAATAATTGTTCGCTCCTACACAAAGAAACAATAATAAACGTCCGTATTTCTCTCGTTTCAGTATGGATTCGTCCACTGTGCCCTGGAAGATATGGTGCGCACGAAGCATGGAATAGACGCCTGGGAAAAGATATTGTGAGTACATATTTTCTGAAATAGGAAAAACTGGAGTCGCCCATTGGCAGCATTGACAACATTGCAAAGAAACGTTCAAAGCACAACTCCATTTCACTGTAAGCTTGCATAATATACATGTGGTTTAAAAAGCTAACCACTCCTTCTTTGTATGTTTGGATAAAGTGATTAACAAGTTAGGAGTACTTAGTACTCTACTATGGGAGAGATAAATAGCCGTCCCATGGTCCGTATAACTATGAACCCACAGCAACTCCTCAAACTGTCAGTGCCATTCCTTCTTTACTTGCCAAATCCAGGATATGGGGCATGTCCATAGTAGAGTAGTCGGTAATAGTTCTGGCCACCCTCAAGTTTCTTAAGCTGCATCTCCAACCAAAGTGCACAGGTGTTGCTGCATTTCGTCTTGCCTTTTCTTTCTTTCTTTTGATAAATTTCTTCAGCTGTAAGGCTTCGTTTTTGTTAAATTACTAAGGCTATTCTTGTAAGTTTCATTGCTAAACAAGTCGACGGATGACAAGTTCTTTTCATTGGCAAACCTTTGCCCACGTTGCAGTTTTTCACTGACCTTTTCTGTCAATGTTATTCATAGCGATACAGGCAGGAAGCATGTGTATAATTTGTTCTGCTACTGACTCACTAGCGCTCACATAGACAGCAATTTCAGTAGAAGCTGTGTCTGGGCCGTACACATCAGATTTAGGGCCGTACACATCAGAGGTCCTAAACAAACAATGAAAGCCGTTCAATACTTCTTTCAGGGACAATGGTATTTGGGCAAAATACTATCATTAAGCACCACGTGTCGTTATGCTGGCGCGTGTCAAGCATCAGCGAACCCTATTACAAACAAAACTTACCGATTAAATTATTACAAGGATCGAATCTTCATTATTTTTACCCATATTGTCACACCAAATGAAAGAGGAGTGGCAGTCGCAAGAAACTGGCGATATTACCTCCTCATATTTGTAGTTAAATATAAATAGAAGGAACCTACTCGTTTCGTATCAAACCTGAAGCACTATAGCATTGTCCGTGAATCACGACCGCAAAATTTTGTGCTTATCTGTGCACTCAAGTGCTTTTTTGCTCAAACTTTATCAAAGTGAGGTTAAACAGCTTTTATTTTCAAAGCTACATAAACAAGTACAACCGTTGATGCACAAAGGGGCGACATCATCCAAGGTAAAGACCCGATTACTTCTATAAATAATCCAAGTTTGCAAACGAACTCTTCTGAAGCGAAACACCCGACACGCTCGGGCAAGCTGGTGAACTTGCAAAAGAGCACTTCCTGATTGGATGCAATCTATAAATAGAATATTTCGGTAATGTGCACCGGAGGCCGTGCAGTGACCGCACCAGCTGTATCGACTTCACGAGTACAAATGAGGTGCTCTCGACATTCTCATAATAAGTGTTTTACTGCATATTTGTAATACAACAGGCAGTACCTTTGAGTTTTTTTTTTTTTTATGTTGTGACCTCGTAATGTTCTGCGTAACATGTACACCCATTTAAGTCACGAGCGACAGGAAAACGAAGCTTGAGCAACGATTTCACTTTACAGTTTTATGAGATTATGTTGGCTGTAGTTCGCGAATCTTTAATTGTTATTCATGAGAACTGTTTGGACGATGCTGAGTGAACTTTTCTTTTTGCCTTTTTGCAATGAAATTTTAGAAAGCCAGTTCATTCATTTCATTCATTTTATTTCAAGTTCTCTTATTACATCAAAATACACAACACTGGTTAGACCCATAGCCACTATGGTTAGACCCATAGTTGCTTTGTTACAGAGTTATGCGAAAAGCAGTTGTTTGATGCGACCACACTACATACGTTTGTCACTTTTCAACGTGTTGAGGGGCTAACATTTGTAATTCCATGTCACACTGACCTTCTCTCTGTTCACTTCTGACTCATGTTAGAGCTTGTATTATGTGTATCTCCCATAACGACAGAGCTATTGCGGCAGGCCACATCACTGCATTCTGCGTCGCCTGTCAGCGACTCTCTTACGTGGTGCTCTTACGATACCGTGCACGTTATGGCACTTGTTCTCCCACTAACCAGGTGGGAAGCAGTCACCTATAGGTCAATCCTGCAGTCAGTAGAGCCTCCTTCACTAACGTCCTCCCATATAAAACGTATGGAAGCTTTTTTTAAAGAAAATCAGCAACAGGCCCCAGTGCAGGTCATGTCCATCTGCGAATGGTGACTTGTAACGTGTACTGTTGCGCAGGTAGACAGGCCGCATTTACGCGATCAAATATGCGTGAGAGGACAGGGGGATGAGAGGAAACACGCAAGGACACAACGCGCACGAAATGTGGAGCTGTTTACGGGAGCGGTTCATTGTAATCCGCGAACCAAAAACTATATCGCAAGGCTGACAACTAGGTTAGTGGGTAAGGTTTCATTATGGTTGAAGCAGTGCAAACAACACTCCTCGCGCCTCCTTTTATCGTCCGCGTTTGCACTGTATAAACCATAATAAAAAACTATCACCATCGTGAAACTGAACATGCTATTTTCGTCGTCTTCTTTCTATTAGTCCTTTTCTATATCTGCTGCTGTCATTCCGAAATACGAGAGACAGTTTGTACGACCCCGACTGGAATAACTCTGATGGGTTAGAGCGAGAAAGAGATAGGAAGAGAGAAAAACTCGGCAGCAAGAAAAACTGAGAGAGAGAGAGAGAAAGAAGAAGCGAGAAAAGACAGAAAAACTTAGAAAGACAACAGAAGAAATAAATAGATAGAAAAAAGAAAGAGAAAATAGAGACGGCCACCCTGCTCTGTACTTCATTCATGCATCGCACAACTAGTGCGAGGATGGCTTCATTGTCGACAGTGTCGACCAACACTGTCGACATTTCGCATTCGCTACCCTTACTTTTTTCACTGTTTACATGATGTTTCAGAAATAACCAGGTGTTATCATTTTGCTTTCTTTTTGTAGAGCATTTTACTCGGTTTCACAGTTTCACTAACGTTAAATGAAATGCAGACCAATTGCAGTCATGTGGTTTGAAAAGCTGAATAGTTTAAATGCCGAGTACTATAATTCTACACTATTGCCCTAAATATAAAAGCTTCTTGGAGCCAATTTTCGTTCACCGTAAAAACTGAAACATAAGCACGAACAAAGACAGAAAATGTGAGACTTGCTTTCGTTTTGGAAATCCCAAAAGAGAAAGAAAATAGCCTTTTGCTGAAGCGACCCTTATTCGGAATATTATATGAAGTGGTGTCTGTGACGGGCGTGTTCAGAAAGACATTTAATTTTCAACACGACCCAAGCAAAGCATTTTTATTCTCTCCACGTCGACACGCTCAGAAACCGCGTACATGCCAGATAATGGAGGTGTAGATATTGATCCAGCTTTCTTTCTTAACATGCTACGTTAAAGCCAGACGAAGGAGATGCACGCGCGTGCATGGATGAAGAAGGCTTATATTTAAATTGAACAGTAATTGGAAAGTGACAGGGGATTTCTTGAACGACAAGAAACTCGCGATCTAATTAGTTCGTCGCGACTAATCTTCTTTTGAACAAGTGCGGGAACACTATGGTATACGTTGAAAAATAGTAAGGGCATATTAAAGTTGTACAATTGATCTAAAGAGGTTGATTATTCTTATGCTATGCAGTTTCTTAGTGCGATGTGCGGAGTCTTGTATAATCAGTAAAAACACACACACACACACACAGCCAATCAGTAAAAAGGTTAGAAGATGTGATCTGCATGGTCATTATCCCACACAGTATAATCCAGCCATGCTAATCCGCTTTAGACGGAGTAATTCTTGCGTCACACGGTCACGGTTGATGATGATCAGGCCTAATCCGAACGATATTCATTGATCGTGTTTGACTTGTTTAAGCAAGCTGCAGCAGGGAGCCAATCACATTCTAGGAACTCTATCCCAATCACGATCAGCGGAGTGCCCTCTGACAATGGTGTAAAATGTCTGCAATACGGAAGCATTATTGTGACTGAAGCAACTAGAAGCACTACACTACACGCTCTGTTAGTCAACGGGACTACCTTACAAAAAAACAGACTCTTTTCGTGTTCCAACAAACAAAATAAACTGAAATCTTGTACATTACCCGATACCATAATCGCTACTAAGCAAGAGATACAGGAAGGCAAAGACTGGAACATTTTGGAAAATATTCGGACAGTTTAACCACCGTGAAGATTATTTCTTCATTGATAATTAACCCCTGTATAAACAGAAAACCTTAGATTTGGAACACTATAGTTACATAGGTTCGAAGTGTGTGTGTTCCTGTAGAGTTTAATTTAAGAACAAATATCCTCTCCGCTTGTTAGCATGCCCAAAGATGGCGAGGTTTTAGTGTCACTCGACAGTAGGAATTTTTGTACATTGACTATTGTAGACAACCAAAACAACCAAGCCAACATGCTAAATAAAACCCATCAAGGCAGTGCACATACATTTCTTTCTGAAATCCGAATGCTTTGTTTGGCATTCGGATTTTCTGCTGCAGGGTATTGTGCTTATAGTTCCAAAAGGTTAAGGCAGCAGCTATGTTATTCTGCGCGACCACTTCACATAGCAGTGACTTCTTCCATGACTGAGGCGTGGTAACATCATAAGAGGAGAAAGTGGAACGGGTTGCTGGCGGCAGAGCACTTTCACCATTTCGCAATACGACATTGAGTGCCAGAGCAGTACTGATTTCTTTCGGTGCTAAAGGTGCGTGCGATAGACACTTACAAGAGCGTTGGCTACGAGCAGCAGAGAAAGGGGCTTGTGGGACTCAAAAGCACACGCTCAAACTAACGAAACGAAAACGAATGCTTATCTAAACAGCACGTACAGGCACAGAGACAAACAGCCTGGCTCATAACGACAAAGAAAACAGACAGACAAAAGCGCAGCAGGGAATCTTTCGCTCAGCTGGGGCCTGCTAGAAAACTAATATGGCCGGAAGAGTGGTTGAGAAGGAGCGATCAGGAA